GATTTTTAAAAATCGAATAGTCGAATAAAATTGACAAATCGCGACAGCCCTAATAAGGATCGATGTATATTTAATTCATACAGTGAAGACTGTGCAGTGTTTTATTTTACATTAACATAGGTTTAATAAATTAAAATTGTGATTTTAAATAGGGTTATCGTGAAATAAAACTACTTGATTTATGATTTTGATTTTGGTCTAATCGCCAACCTCTATCTTTGATTAAAGTGTCCTTTTATTTAACTAAAATTTCCAAACTGATGGTGATACTTTTGTTAATTAAAAGTGTTCCCAGAAAAAAAATATTAATAATGGCCACCTCAAATCCTGTCTGAGATGTTCCCAAGCACCCAGTCAGTTTGTAGCAAGAATGAAACAAAGCATGCAGTGTCCAGAAAAGGCTTATCAGCTAACCTTGAAACCTTGTCTTATGCAGAATATAATTTTTTTCTCAGTGCAGAATTCAGAAGGTTCTCTGTGGATCTCCATTAACAGTGTGTAACCTTCATGTTGCAGCTGAAGTGTGTGAAAGGACACTTGTAGCTGTGTGTGTCAGGGTATAGGGGTACTCATTTGTGTTTGTGTGTTAGGAGGATATGAGCTGGAGAGGGTGAACTGCACAGCGTGTGGTCAGCAGGTGAATCATTTCCAACGTGACTCAGTCTACAGGCATCCTATGCTCAATGTCCTCATCTGCAAGGTATGTGTATGTGAGTCTGTGCATTAATTGTGTTTGTGTATGTAAATGTAAAGTAGAAATGTAAACCGAAGAGTTTTTTTTTCATGCCTGCATTATGTAGTAAGTTGCATGATTTAGTGACAAGTAGTTAATCCTTCTTTAGAGTTTTATATGGATTTGTTTGCTTTCTTGTAGAATTGTTTTAAGTATTATATGAGTGATGACATCAGCAAAGATTCAGAGGGGATGGACGAGCAATGCAGGTACATGGAGTGAGTGTGTGTGTGTGTGTGTGTGTGTGACAGTTCGGTGAAATGGTGTTCATTACATTGGATGTATTTGAAAGAGTATTTTGTTAAAAAGTTGAGCTGCTTTTCTCACTTTTGTCTAGAGTGAATGTTATGTAGCTGATTAAAACTATAATATAAATGGATCTTATTAATGTATGTCATGACCAAACTTGTGCAGGTGAATAACACAAAGAAAAGTTTGATTTATAAAATTATACATTTATGTATTGACATTAGACTTGTGCAGGTATTCGGTAATGCGATATATCACGGTAATGAATATGCACGATGTTGTTATCGTGGGCACTTCTAAATACCTTGAATAATTATATATTACAAATTATTCAGAATTTTGAATGCATTTTAAGAATACATTTCCCATAAACTGGTCAAAATGCACAACACCACTGTATGCTGCGTGAAAGAC